CTAGATTGAACAGCAACATACAGCATTTATCATCTCGTCTCTGTCCTTTAGATATACTGTGAATTCATAAATTGTAACTGGTATCATGAGCCACAGTGCAGAGCTAAAGGAAACAGCAGCGGAGAGAATACATAACTCACTGTGAAAGTGCTCTTCATAAAAGCCACAGGACGTGCTCAGTCTGTTATTTGCATTCATCACTTGTCCTTCACCAAGCCAACGTGTGAGCTTTTCATTGTCAGCAAATTTTGACTAGACACATTTGAAGTGAGCAGCATCGAGTCTATATAACTCAGATGTCTAGTTCCAGAGTTCAAAGCTGATTTGATTACCAGAGCAAATTCCTTTCTAGGTGGGCAGTCTGTCTGTCCCTTGCAACTTACTCAGCACAAATGGAAACAGCACTTCTCAAAATACCAACAAGAGCTGCTGCATACATATGAAGAGGAGTGTCATAAAATGGAAACTTTTGATAAATTATTACATATTGCATGTAAAGAGGATTGAGAAAGAAAAAGAGGTAGTAAAAAGTAAATAAGGTACTGGGAGCAGCAGAAGCAGAGAAGAGAGAAATAGGGAATGAGCTAGTGGTTCAATAGTGCTAAACAATATCCTGAGCTGGCAGTAGTTAGAATCATTGAAGAGATTGTATCTCAGCTCTTAGAGGAAGGCAGTTCGTGTTACTTAAAAATATTTGCTGGCTGATCAGAGTTCAGTTATTGCTGTTTCTGAAGATGGATGAACAGATAAGCTCCCTGTTCCAATCAGCCATCCTGTAAGGAAGCTGCTTACAGAGAAGGAAAATAAAGTATTCTTGAAGAGAGAGGATGAAATACTGGCACCACTGAAGTCCATGGCAAAACTCCTATTGACTTCACTGGGGACAGGATTTCACCAAGGGTCTCTAAACATTGGCCTCCTCAGACAATAGTTCCAGATAGTTAGTGTGTAAAAATGGGCAACTCAGTGCAGCAGAAGTGTGGCAAAATATAGAAATACAGAGATGAGTGTATGTGAGAGAGAAGGTGACAACATACCCATTGTCTAGGAACCTTCCATTTAGTTATTTCCTTGACTGGGAAGACTTTATGATTACTATTATGTAAGGCTGTCAATTAATTGCAGTTAACTCATGTGATTAACTCACAAAAAATAATCACGATTAAATAAATTAATCACAATTAATCACAATTAAACAATAGAATACCAATTAAAATGTATTAAATATTTTGGATGTTTTTCTACATTTTCGTATATATTGCATTCTGTGTTGTAATTGAAATCAAAGTGTATATTATTTTTCATTACAAATATTTGAACTGTAAAAATGATAAACAAAAGAAATAGCATTTTTCAATTCACCTCATACAAGTACCATAGTGCAATCTCTTTGTCGTGAAAGTGCAACTTACAAATGTAGATTTTTTTTGTTACATAACTGCACTCAAAAACAAAACAATGTAAAACTTCAGAATCTACAAGTCCACTCAATCCTACTTCCTGTTCAGCCAATTGCTATGACGAACAAGTTTGTTTACATTTACTGGCGATAATGATGTCCTCTTCTTATTTAAAATGGCACCAGAAAGTGAGAACAGGCATTTGCATGGCACTTTTGTAGCTGGCATTGCAAGGTATTTACGTGCCACATATGCTAAACATTCGTATGCCCCTTCATGCTTCAGCCAACATTCCAGAGGACATGGTTCCACGCTGATGACACTTGTTAAAAAATAATGTGTTAATTAAATTTGTGACTGAACTCCTTGGGGGAGAATTGTAAGTCCTCTGCTCTATTTTACCTACTTCTGCCATATATTTCATGTTATAGCAGTCTCAGATGATCACCCAGCACATGTTGTTCATTTTAAGTACACTTTCACTGCAGATTTGACAAAATGCAAAGAAGGTACCAATGTGAGATTTCTAAAGATAGCTACAGCACTTGACTCAGGGTTTAAGAATCTGAAGAGCCTTACAAAATCTGAGAGGGATGAGGTGTGGAGCATGCTTTCAGAAGCCTTAGAAGAGCAACACTCCAATGCAGAAACTACAGAACCCAAACCACCAAAACAGAAAATCAACCTTCTGTTGGTGGCATCTGACTCAGATAACAAAAATGAACATTAGTCGGTCCACGCTGTTTTGGATTGTTATCGAGCAGAACCCATCATTAGCCTGTATGCATGTCCTCTGGAATGGTGGTTGAAGCATGAAGGGACATATGAATCTTTAGTGCATCTGGCACGCAAATAACTTGCGACACCGGCTGTAATAATGCCTTTAGAATGCCTGTTCTCACTTTCAAGTGCCATTATAAACAAGAAGCAGGCAGCATTATCTCCTGCAAATGTAAACAAACTCCTTTGTCTGAGTGATTGGCTGAACAAGAAGTAGGACTGAGTGGACTTGTAGGCTCTAAAATTTTACATTGTTTTATTTTTGAATGCAGCTTTTTTATACATAATTCTACATTTGTAAGTTCAACTTTCATAATAAAGAGATTGCACTAAAGTACTTATATTAGGTGAATTGAAAAATACTATTTCTTTTGTTTTTTTTACAGTGTAAATACTTGTAATAAAAATAAATATAAAGTGAGCACTGTACACTTTGTATTCTGTGTTGTAATTGAAATCAATATATTTGAAAATGTAGAAAACATTCACAAATATTTAATTAAATGGTGTTCTATTATTGTTTAGCAGTGCAATTAATCACGATTAATTTTTTTAATCACTTGACAGCCCTACTATTATGGTTGCTGGTTATTATCTCCTGTCTCTATTACCTAAAGTTAATTAAGTGGAAAATTTGTCTGAAAGTGAATAACAGCATGTTAGCAAAAAAATAAAAATATGTACAGTACAATTACAGAAACATCTACATACAGTTTGCTTTTTATGTACTAAGATGTGGGGCTCTGGTTTCTCAAACTTTGCATATGAATCCTTGAGTGGAAAAAATAAAGCCAATGAGATACCGTTGTCCATAGACACAATATATCATCATAATAGTTTGATAAAATGATGACCACCATTACAAATGTTTCATAATGCATTCAAAATGCTGGTTGTCACGTCAGTGAAAAGTTCATTTTAACCTTTTAAACACAACAGCCATAAATTCCAAAGTAAAGGTTTTAGCCTTCAAAATAAAATGCTAGAAGCCAGAATGTCTTGTTGCATTTAGATACACAGGTTCTTCAGGTTAGCCTCTTTTTGAAACAGTAACACAGAGATATAACAATCCCATGGCTACACAGGAGTATACCACCAAACCCTAGTTTCAGAACTCAGTTGTCAGTAGTGATTAAAAACTCAGGACCTTCTACTCTAAACATAGAATCCTCCACCACTTGATGTAAAGGAGAATTTATAATGCTTAGCACTTAAACTGTGCGATACTTTTTATGTTCACAAGGCCCTAACTTTAGTAGTCACAATAATTCAGAGCATATTCATACAATGGAGCATAAAGATTTGAAATAAAAGCATCAGCCAAGCTTTTAAAAATAACTACTGACTTTGGTTGCCTCAGTTGGTGGGTGTCCAACTTGAAACACATTAAAGCAGGCTGGTTTTGGAGGAAAGTGCTTTGCATTTTCTGAAAGTCACACCCCTTCAAGGTGCCTTCAAATTGAGCATTCCGAAATGGAAGCATCCAAAATCAATAGCCTCTTTTGAATATGTTGTCCAGCATGTTTGTTAAACTATCAATATATAATTTTAGCTTTCTCAGGCACAGGCACACACACAATTTTGTTAAATAATGTGTTTTAAAATACGTTTAAAATGATTTTCTGTCAAGCATCGCCATTTGCATTACTGCTAATACTACACCAAAATATCCCAACCAAACAAAATACCCCTGCCCGCTCAAAAAACAAAACAAAACAAAAACCTCTTACCAAATAAATCAAATTTAAGGATAAGGTTTAAATGTATGAAAAGTAAAGCAATCTAGGGGGAAAGGTCAAATTCTAGACTGAGGATCTGAGTCTCATGTCATTTACACTGGCACACACTAAGTGCACATGTATAGAGCAACTGGGAGTGTGCTTCCCAGTTCAGGTAGACAGACACAAGCTATCTCTGCTCCATCTGGTATGTTAAAAATAGCAGTATAATTGGGGGTACCATGGCTGGTGGATCACGCTAGCCATCCAAGTACATACCCCGGGGGTCAGGACAGATTTGACACTGACAAATGACTTGTTAAATAGCTTGTTAATATTTTAATGCTCTCTGGGTATGTAATGCACACATACAAATTTGAAGATAATTTTATTTTCTCCGCAGATGTTTTTCTTGTTCTACTTGGCATACAAAGGTTATGGGCTGTGGGTGACATCCTGGCCCCAGTGAAGTCAATGATAGTTTTCCCAATGGCATCAGTGGGGCCAGGATTTCACCCAATATGCTGATTTTGGTTTTTTATTTCTTTTCTGTATCTGTGCACAATCATCACTGATGATCTGAGAAGGCATTTGAACACCTCCTGGGATTATTTATTAGAAAAACCATTTGGTTTTTGTTATCCTATCAAATCCGGGCTATTATTTGTACTTTTTTTTTTGCCAGTGCATATAAGGCAGGAATTCTGCTTTTTCAACCTGCTTCTTGTGTTTGTGTCAATTAAGTGCTCAATAAAGACACTAAATGGGCAGCTTTAGCCAATGAAGTCAAAGATAATTGTTCTGGAGTGAATCTCTTAAGAAGTATAAAATCTAACAGCACAGTTCTCACCCTTTTCTCATGTTCTAAAACTTTTGTTTCTCACAAGACTTTACATTTCTGCCACTCAACATCCCCTTGATGTAGTGTAGCACCAAACACTCTAGTTACATAGAGAAAAATACCGACTTCATTTAACTCATATGGGCTATATCCTGCCATCTAGTTGGATATATTCTTAAAATAGGAACAGGGCCCTCAGGCTGGTGTAATTTTCCCAATAAAATTGCAACTAGTTCCCAGCTATTGTAATAATCAACCTACCTGTAAAGGGCTGAAAGTGGCCGCTTGTTTCCAGGTTTTGGTCTGTATGGTTTTGGTTCTCCTGCCATGTTGATATCTGAAAGCAAACATTTGATACACATAAGCCGAAGCTTATCAGCTAAGAGTGAGTCTGCATGCACACAAGATGCTGTGAAAATAAATAATAAAAAATAGAAGAGGAAAATATACCTAACATTCTGATCAAGTTTGAACTACTTTTAAGCTGATGCTATAAAAGTGTCCTTTAAAAATATATCTTGCTACCTTGCATATGGATTTAAGCATCACACCAGTCAAGGTTAATATACAGAATGCATATTTTTTATAATTTAATTGTGTGGTTTATGGAGATATTGGTAAGTTTGGGCTAATAATGTATCTCTGGTCTAGAAATTATCTGAATAGAGATTAGAAAAAGAGATAGATAGTGCTTTTAAGTCACTTCACCATTGTTCAGAAAAGTAGCTATCACGTGCTGTTTGAAAGCCCATGGTGACTCAGCCAGAATTCCTCCTTGAGATCAAACCAATGTTTGAAGGAGTGCAGCATCAGCAGCCCCACTATATACCAGCCACCACAGCTCTCAGCATTTAAATATGGTAATACTCAGACAGATAATAGGTCCATGTCTCCCACCTCCTGATGTCCCTTTTAGAGTTAAACAAATACATTTCTGGTGCTAGCTTGAAGTGGATTTTATACTCAGGGAGCACAAGGTGCGTGATTCTGACTAGTCCCTATGCCACCACAATCTGGTCCATAGATTGCCATCATCTCTGCCTTCCTCAAAAAATAAATTGAACTGCAATGTAAAACGACTTTCCCCAAACACAACCCTTTAGAGGAAGTAGATTAAGTTCAGGGGGCATGTTATATTAATAAAATGTACTTTATTGTTTTAAATATGTGTAACTGACAAAGGAGGAAATACATTGTAATTTCCATATATAATTTTATCCTAAACAGTCACTTTCTCAGACCTCCTCTGTGCATTTCAGTGAAATGCTAGAAGCTGTGTTACTTCATAGTGTACCTCCATTCCCTTACCCCAGGAGTGTATAGTGATCCTGAAAATATTCTAATATCTGACATGTGAGCAGTCATTACCCACCCTGGATCTATTTACTATACTCTCTTTGCCCTTCCTTGGAGTCGTACACAAGGACAGAGCTAATCTGATGAGGGCACAATAGAAAATGTTCATAAATCCATTTTTAGTTCTAGTGACAGTTACCAATGAAGAAAAATCACAGCCTATTCTGTTGGGAATACCTTGACTAAAGTGGTTATAACATACTTACAAAATAGCTGTGGAAATAGAGGGCTACTGCAATTTCATGCACAGAACCTTTAACTCTGCTTTAAACAGAAAGCAGTTTGGGCTATCTTATATAAATAAGGTATTTTTGCAGGAAATTGGACATCATAGTGTCTATACAGTGGAAGCCATGTAGAGAAGTAACCCTTTCACCTCAGCAAAACAAATTTGTGACACCTTTATAGACACTGGGACAATTCACCTGGTATTTATGCCAATATAAATCAGGAATAATGCCAATGAAGTCAGTGGAGTTATGGCAGTTTTACACTGAAGTGACAAAGCTTTCAAGGACTCACATTGTCCTGGTAAGGACTTTGCTTCAGATTAGAGGACAGCAGAGTGGAAAGCAGTAGTGTGGAAAGACCACCTGTAGAGTGAGCAGACGTGGTCTCTGGCACATAGCCCAGAAAGTGTCAGGCATCAAACTTTCCTTGGTAAATTCAAACGTTAAAATAAAACTTTTTATGTCTTTGACCACTTCCCCCACAGAAATTTGTTTAGTTTCAGAGTAAGCTGCCCAGAAAACTGATTTTTCTCCCAATAGAAATTGTGAATGAAAAACCTTAATTTGAAAATTTTTAGTTGAAAAATATTGGATTTCCCACTGGATGTTTCATACCATTTCAATCATTTCTTATCAAAATGAACATTTTAATTAATTTTCACTTTAAATACTGTTTCATTTTAAAATATTGATTTAAAATGAAAAATTTCATTTCAAAATATGCAATATAAAAACTGACATTTTTTTGTCTGGAACTGACAGCTTCCCAGAAAGGAAAAAAAGAATTAGTTCAGTTGGAAAAAAATTCCACATGAAAAATTTCAACCTGATCTAGTTTCAAACAATGTTGCTGTGTTGGAATTGGCATTGCACTAAATCAGTGGTTCTCATACTTATTTGATCGGGCCCCTCTTCTTTGTGTCAGTAGTAATTTACGTGCACCCTCCCCACCACAAGTACATATACTGCCACTCAGCTCTGAAGGCAGCACCGCACCAGCAGCAGCAAAGAAGGGAGGCAATGTGAAAAGTGATATTTGTCATCACTTTTCATAGCAGACTTAGTACCCCATTGCCAGTCTTATTTCTGTGCTGTTGCTGCCACCCTGGGGCTGAGAGCAGGAGACCTGCCACCTCAAGGTGAGGGATTGGGTGGGAGGGAGAAGAGCCTGAGTCTGGGGTGCTTCCTGGTGAAACATTGGGAGGGGAGAAGGAGAACCCAAGCTTGGGTGGCTGGGCTCCGGCTGCCCTCTTTATCCCCACCTCCTTGGTACGCATGGCCCTTCTGCATGAGCCCCAGCCAGCGGGGCTGACAGCAAGAACTCTTAAAAAAAAAAAGGACACAGCTCATGCCTCCACTGATGCATTCTCATACCTCCCTTAGGATGCTCACCCCATTTGAGAACCGCCGCACTAAATCATTTTCTCTTAAGTGACAAACATTTTTTTTCTTACTGGTGTCTGAAAGTTGGGTGAATATTGGAGCCAGTTTTCATATTCCCTGCTAATTGCTTTACTTCATTTAATTTTCATGCAAATTTGTGTTTTTTAAAAAATAAATCATATATTTTTTCAAATATGCATATTTTAAAAAGGGTATATCATTTATACTAATATTGGCCTGTCAGTTTCAACTTCAGACATTTGCAGGAAGTGATTGAGAACCATTGTTACCTGGGCTGGACTTCCATTTACCTCCTGGAAAACTGAGTATTAGAATTGGAATGAAAATTTCATCCTGTGACCTTTACTATAATTAAACCCTTCCATGCTATTTTAATATGACAGCTTTAGGTCATTGACTTTGCTGACTTTCACCATCTCTTCCTAAAACTTCCTAAAATGTTGTGGGAAAAAATGCAATATTTATAATCTGCTTTTGAAAAACATCTAAGGTTGTAGCATTAATCTCCATATATTTCTCATGTCTATCATCCACTCTTCTTCATTGGTTTATGTATTTATTTTTCCAGAACTTTGACCAAGGTCACTTTGAACACTAAAGAATTCTCAGATCTTTTTTCCGTGTACTTTGGGTACAGAGTAGTGTTATCTTTGTGATTTAATTGTAGACCTACATTCGTAAAGTTGTACAAATTCATCCAATGCAGATGGATGTTTTTGTTTTAGCCAATACTGTCAGAAAAATAATATTATCAGAAAACACAGCAGGAAAGCTGTTCAGACTCAGTTAAGATACCATCAGGTGCAAATAAATCCATAAAGGCAGTACCTGGAAAAACTGAATTGCATTATTGTATCAATAGTGAGAATTGCTCTTTAATATAGGGAATATTTTGAAGAAAAGGCACATTCATGGGGCTTTTCCATTTATTATTTCTGTTATCGGTTTTCTTTTCTATCAATCAGTTTAACTATCCACCTTGAATGTCCCTTGAAATGTGTGTTAACTCCTTATGCTAAACAACCTATTCCACCCTGTATTTAGCTGTGACACTGAGTATATTTCCCTGACCTGAAGAAGAGCTCTGTGTAAGCTTGAAAGATTTCCTCTCTCACCAAACAGAAGACAATCCAACCAAAGATATGATCTCACTCACCTTGTGTCTCAAAAGAAAACTGACATTTTAAATTCATTAATTCTTGTCACATATTCTTATTTTTATTAAGATAGTGCCTAAAAGCCTCAGTCATGGACCCTATTGTGTTAGGTGCTGTACAAACACAGAACAAAACAATGCTCTCTGCCCCACAGAGTTGACAATTTAAACAAATAATATATATACACATACACATATGCACATCTATATTAGTATGCTTAGCTAATGTCAGTTTAAAAAAAACATTTTTATTGAAAATTGTAAGGGCAGGCCACATGCAAGGGACAGTAAAATCTATGAAACATCTTGAATTCAATGAAATACAAGTATGTTATCAATACACATATGATTGGCTGACTGGTGTCTGGTGTCTGATCACAACTGAAAAATCTGCTGACCTGACAGGATGCTTGGGAGGCGTGCTGTCTACCTGAAGCCTGCAGCTGAGACATTACAGAAAGGTTGCTGAGGAGCATCCATCCCTCTGACCACTACCCATGCTGCACATCCATGTGGGCACTAATGATACCGAAGTATGACTCTCAGCAGATCAGCAGTGAGTACAGGGCTCTGGAAGCAGGGAAGGAGGAGTAAGGGGCACAGGTTGTGTTCTTGTCCATGCTCCCGGTTGAGGACAATGGCCCAGGCAGGGTGACATGCATCCTGGAGATGAATGCATGGATGCACAGATAGTGTCGATGGGAGGGGTTTGGCTTCCTCAACCATGGGATACTGTTCTGGGTAGAGATGGGGTCCACCTGACCAATAAGGGGAAGATCATCTTTGAGCACTGACTCACCAACCTAATGAGGAGGGATTTACACTAGGATCAAAGAGGACAGGTGACAGAAGCTGGGAATGGGTGACAGGAGATGGATTACTCGATGATTACCTGTTCTGTTCATTCCCCCTGAAGCACCTGGCATTGGCCATTGTCGGAATACAGGATACTGGGCTAGATGGATCTTTGGTCTGACCCAGTATGGCCGTTCTTATGTTTTTATGTGACAAAACACACAGATAAGTCTAAAAAAGGTGACTTTAACAAAGGGCTAGATGTTGGGGGGAGGAGGATAACCATGAAATTACAATAGGATCATAGGACTAACAAGAGGGAAATCCAGGGGGGGAAACTGCTCAACATCTTAGATATCTATACACAAAGGCAAGGAGCCTAGGGAAAAACAGGAA